AACTGAAAATCAACCAAATATCCTAAAGTAGGAAGCCAAACTGAGAAATTTTATGCTAGCTGTTTATGACGGCACGTCTTTCCATGCAGTGGAGGTCCTGGTGGACTCCTCAGATTGAACCGCCATGTTCTCCCCTTCCACTCATCAAAAAACTTTCATATGCGTCCGGGTTGAATTCGTATTATTCGATCAGGTACAAATGAATCTTTGTTTTTTTTTCATGCTAATTTAACAGTGTCGTCTTCGGATATCGTGCGCATTTTGCTGAACCGAACAGCCCTCTTGTGTTAAATGTCGAGTTCAATGATAGTCAAATCAAAACTTTTCGCATACGCTCACCAATGATGATCAGAGGCTTTGTAGGTTAACAGCTTGTCAAAGCGGTAGCGTTTTTTTTTCTCTCTCTCTCTCCATTTGTAATCACTCGATATTACGAAAACTACCGAAGGATTACCACAGACAGTCAAATTTGGAGCTCTGACATATGGTTACAACATGCAACAGGAGTACTCCGGCACTGTTTTGAGCAAAGGATTAATCAGCAAAGATTTCCTGAAATCCAAAACAACCGTAAAAAGCAAAGCATATGATGGAATATGAAGGTAGGAAACAAGAAGAGCGTGCCTGCCTTCTAGTTATCAGTCAGGAACGCAGATTTATCATACTTTTTGTACATTTGACCCACTTTTGACAAACGCGGCTGCCTCAGTGGGCTTATAAACCACGACAGTAAGGGGAAGGCTTGAGTGGAGCTAACGCCCCAACCATCTGAGCTACGAGGCCCCATGGGGGAGCCGTGAGTTCAATCCCATCTGGGTCAGGTTAATCGCCCAGTCTGCAGTCTGCAGTTTTAAAATTATGCCCACCAATTTCAGGGTACCCTAAGCGGCGAACGACGTGGGTCACGATCTCTGCCGCGAACTGGTGAATTCTGCTGATCTCACCTTAATTTCGGTACTAGGCCTCGGCACCGAATCCCCCTCTGCCATTTTAGGCCCTCGCAAGGAAGCCCCTCAGTCTGAGAGTAAATGCCACCGGTCTCTTTGGCAACCCCGCAGGTCACACATTTTACGCCTACAACACCAAGCGTGACAGACGTTTCCTAGTTGGCAGCAGAGCGTCAATAAACATCACTCCTCCTACTTCGGCTGGTCGAGGTCTTCTGTCAAATGACGTCATGGTATCTTTTGATGCCTCGTCCCTATTTACTTTTATTCTCCAGGATTTATTAGTCAAGACCATCGAATTACTTCTGCAAATCCTGAAGTTCTGCCTCAATGCGTACTACATATTCGACGGAACAACCTACGAGCAAGTGAAAAGCACACCAAAGGGGTTCACCGATTTCAGAACTCATAGATGAGGCTGTTTTGCAACAGGTGGAGTCGCTAGTCTTCCGACACCACAGGACAAAATTATGAGCTTGGTTTTTGGATGATAATTTCGTCTTCATCGAACGGGATCAGAGGCATTCAAAGAATATCTCAACGCCATCTTCCCGGACATAAGATTTAAAATTGAGGGAAAAGAAAACAACCAGACAGCTTTTCTTGATAGTTTGTGATGGCCTTACAACCAAAGTGTGCAGGAAAGTGACAAATGCGGCGCGAATACTGAGCTGCAATAGCTATCATCCAACTGTTCAACCGTCGATTTCGACGATGTCCACCGTGTGCTACACAGCAAGGTGCAGCAGCCACGGTGACTTGCGCGTGAATTAGTTTACAGTGATAGTAGACGTGCGCAGCATCTACCGCACTCTCTCTTCCACACTCACCACCTGGACCCGGTGCCAAGACACAGTCACGAAGACCGGAAGCTGGGGGAGGGCGCAGGTGGCTGGCACGGCCGGACCCGCACCCAGGCGTGCTGCCACGTCCCCTGGTCTACAACACACATTTGGTCAGGGTTTTTCACCGCCACCAACAACAACAACACCCTAACAGGGGTCAGAAGGGCGAGGATGATGACTGGGCAGCCATGCCCACCACCTGTGTACGCAGCCGGGACGCGAGCGCATATACCGTCAGGGAACCAGTCAGAGCATACCAGGCTGCGAGGGCCGTGTTTTGCTGATACTGGCGTAGCATACGCTTTCAGACCTTTTGACCATCCAATCGGCCGCAAACACACGTGCGTAAGGGCGCTATACCGGTGTATTGAGACGCACTGCAGCGAACCGGAAGACAAGGTAGCTGATGCAAATATCTCCGAGGGATGCTTAGAGGGAATGGTTACCCGCACAGTTTCGCCAATCGGTGATCTCGTCAACGATACGAGAAACAAGGGAGACTGTGATGGCCATTTCTGGCTTATAAAACGTCGCCATTCAGTCATATCCAACCCCGAAATGTGCAGCACCTGTGGCTCGAACTCGCGACCTGTTAATTAGAAGTCCAACGCCTCTAACCACTGGGCCACGGGCCCGTTGTCCTGTGGGTTTCGATCGGAAATATACAATGATAGGGGGGGGGGGCGCTCATCGATCGTTCTTACGGAACTCACTCGTTCCGTTGTGTCTTACGGGCTCTCCCTCTCGAGCCCAGCCAGCAGACGCACAGCGGCGCATGATATAGGCAGAATGTTATTACCGACAAAGACACGAACGATTGGTGAGCGCCCCCTCTACCATTGTATATTCCCGATCGAAACCCACAGGACAACGGGCCCGTGGCCCAGTGGTTAGAGGCGTTGGGCTTCTATTTAACAGGTCGCGAGTTCGAGCCCCAGGTGTTGCACACTTTGGGGTTGGGTATGCCTGACTGACGACGGCTAACAAGCCAGAAATGGTCATTCCAGTCTCCCTTGTCTTTGTCGGTAATATCATTGTGCCTATATCATGCGCCAATATGCGGCTGCTGGTTGGGCTCGAGAGAGAGAGCCCATAAGGCACAACGGAAAGAGTGAATTCCGTAAAAACGATCGCTGGGCGCCCCTCTACCATGATAAAAGAAACCTAATATAACCGGCCGCAAATTTTGACGAGCGTTCCTCCAGGAGAATAACATTTGGGAAACCCCAGTTGCCTTCTTACACCACGTGCAGTGCGGGTTACACGTAGACCGGAGGCAACCACTAGGTATATACTTCGTGTACCAGGATACGCGGAAGAACATGCCTCCCACATACGTGGGATGTGTACTTTCTGACACGTGATGTTTCGCTCAGCACGATGGTGATGTAAAAGCGGATCGCAAGCTTGCTGTAGGAGAAATCCATTGTGCTGTGGGGGTGGGGTGTGCACGCGTTCTGTGAAGTATGTTCGCACTTGGCCTAGGCGTGTGTGCGCAGGTAGAGCGAAGTGTGGTCATGGGGTCAGGGCTGTTATTCTCCTGAAGAATTTGATGGATGAGCAAATGACTGAATCGGCGCACTCGATTGCCGAATGGTCTGCGGCAGCGCATGCCGGTGAGGCCTGTGTGATGAACACTTGTCGCCGCCATTAATTCGATGGATTTGCAAGTGACCGACCATGACGATGCGCGCATAAAGTGTGCGGTGCAGTTGTGACAGTTCGCGTTTCCTCGCCCTCCGCCTTTGTCACGCTGCCATCCTGTCCGCCTCACACTCCGTGTCGATACGCTGCTGGGACGCGCGAGTGCTCGAAGCCAATCAACGCTGTCCCCCTCTGATTGGCTGGCGGACGTGGGGATAACGAGGGACGCACACAAGCGCTGACACAACACCTTGAAGGCGGACACAGACAACAGCTTGCTTGGAGCGCGCTCGCGGCGACTGCCTACAGAACCCTTGTGTACGCACTTCCTGAGGCAGTAAAGGTTGTCCAACTCAAACCGTCTTCCCTGAATTTTGATTGGGAATTTTTATCGTGTCGACCACACAACATTCGACAATTGGTGACCCCTTTGCGAACAGCAATCTTCCTTCTCCCTAATCTACGATAAAGTCAGGTGTTGATCATGGGCAACTTTCCACCAGAAGTGCAGCATATTTTGGCACCCGCCTCCGGCATTCTTTCGGCAGCGCAACTTACTCAGAAGGCTGATCGTCTTATGGAGATGCACGGCTTTTCCAAGCCGCCACTTTCCGCACCCTCAACTCCCTCATCTCCTCCTGCGTGTCCCATTTCGCAGATGGAGATCGAGCTCAGCAAGCTGGCCAATGATATAGCTTCACTCCAGAAGCAGGCAGTTTCTCCTTCATCTCGGAGCCAAGCGAAGCCGTCCACCCCGCATCTCCAGTCTTCACATTCAGCCCGTCCAAACGCAGCTGCCATCTGCTGGTACCACACCACCTTTGGTGTTAAAGCCCGTCGCTGCATCTCCCCCTGCTCCTTCACCTCCAAGCAGAGCAAACGGGTAAAACCGGTCAACCTGAAGGTCTGTGCAGCCAATCTTCCCGACGGCTCTAACCCTGGCCACACATTTTACGTCCGCGACACCAGGAGTGGCAGACGTTTCTTGGTTGACACTGGTGCCCAGCTATGTGTCATTCCACCCACACCAGCTGATCGTCGGTGCCCCAATCCCGGTCTTTTCCTACAGGCCGTCAACACATCGCCGATTACCACATGTGGTACCTGCTCCCTCTCTCTGGACATCGGTCTCCGGCGTCTCTTCCCTTGGGTCTTCGTCGTTGCTGACATCCCCTGTGCAATTCTCGGCGCAGATTTCCTCGCCGCTTTCGATCTTCTGGTCGACTGCCGTCAGTCACGTCCACACGACAAGACCACCAACCTCACTGTCCGGGGTATCTCTTCCTCCGACGCCTCCCGTCATCATGCCGTCTTGGATCCTGAACCCGAGAATCCATTTCGGCAGCTCCTCGCCAAATACCCCGGCCTCACTCGTCCCAACTTCAACGTTTCTATTACACCACATGACTTTGTTCACCACACTCGGACCACCGGTCCTCCCCTGTTTGCTCGACCTAGACGACTAGCACTGGAGCGTTTTCAGGCCGCGAAGGCGGAGTTTGAACACATGCTGTAACTGGGAATAATTCGACCGTCCGAGAGCCCTTGGGCGTCCCCACTGCACATGGTGCCCAAGGCGACATCAGGCGAATGGCGACCCTGTGGCGACTATCGTGCCCTCAACAGCGCTACCATTCCTGATCGGTACCCCGTGTCTCATCTTCAGGACTTTGCTGGAGCCCTTTTCGGCAAAGCGGTTTTCTCGAAGATTGATCTGGTGCGTGCTTTTCATCAGATTCCAGTCGCCCCTGAGGAAATCCCTAAAACCGCCGTCACCACACCCTTCGGTCTCTTTGAGTTCGTACGCATGCCATTCGGTCTTCGTAATGCTGCCCAAACGTTCCAAAGGTTCATTGATCATGTCCTACGTGGCCTACGCTTTGCGTACGCCTACATTGATGACCTCTTGGTGACCAGCCTTGGTGTTTGACCGCCTTGACAAGTTTGGCGTTGTCATCAACCCCTCCAAGTGCGTGTTGGGCGTGCCTTCACTCTAGTTCCTCGGCCACCAAGTCGACTCTGAAGGTTTGCGTCCCCTGCTCTCCAAGGTTGAAGCAGTTCGCAATTTTCCTCCTCCGACTTCCAAGCGTCAGTTACAGCGATTCCTCGGCATGGTCAATTTTTACCGCCGGTTCCTACCGAACTGTGCTGATCTCATGTTGCCGCTCACCAACATGCTTTCTGGTCCCAAAGGTCCCCTCGAGCTGACGGGTGAAGCACTGACTGCTTTTGAGAGAATCAAGAATTCCCTTGCAGATGCCACCTTACTCACACATCCCGCTCCCGAAGCTCAGCTGTCTCTGATGGTAGATGCCTCGACTGTAGCCGTAGGTGCAGTCCTTCAACGACACCTTGCTGGTTCGACTCAACCACTTGCCTTTTTCTCCAAAAGCTCTTACCAGCTGAGACACGCTACAGTACCTTTGGCCGTGAACTACTTGCCATTTACCTGGCTGTGAAGCATTTCCGGCATTCCCTTGAAGGTTATGACTTCACTGTCTTCACTGACCACAAACCGTTGACTTTTGCACTTCGTTCCCACACTGACAAACTAAACCCCCGGGAAATCCGCCAACTGGACTACATCTCACAGTTTACCTCAGACATCCGCCACATCGACGGGTCACGCAATGAGGTGGCTGACGCACTGTCCAGGCCCTCTTTTGCTCATCTTCAGCTTTCACCCGGGATAGACCTCGCTGAGATGGCCGCTGAACAACGCCGTGTCGGTCCACCCTGTGATGAGGCTGTTTCAGGACTCCAACTTCAGGAACTACCACTGACAACTAGCAACGGCACCATTTTATGCGACGTATCCACCCCTTCCCACCGTCCATTCGTGCCACCATCCCTCCGCCGTAAAGGCTTCTCCTCCCTGCACAATCTCTCTCACCCTGGGAGTCGAGCAACCGACAAGCTGGTTTCCGACCGCTTCGTATGGCCTGGGATGCAAAAAGACCTGAAAGCATGGACACGGCATTGTATCCCCTGTCAACGGAGTAAGATCCAGCGGCACAACAAGGCCCCCATTGGCACCTTCCCCCGTCCTGGTTCAAGGTTCAGCCACGTTCACCTGGACATTGTAGGCCCCCTGCCTATGTCCAATGGTTGTTCCTATCTCCTCACATGTGTGGATCGGTTCACTCGGTGGCCTGAAGCAATTCCCCTGCCTGACATTGCTGCTCCAACGGTGGTCAAGGCTTTTCTCAGTCGTTGGGTTGCTATCTTGGGTGCACTCTCCACAATCACGACTGACCGTGGTGCCCAGTTTGAGTCTAACCTCTTCCAGTCTTTACTTTCCTTTTTAGGCTGTACCCGCATCCGGACGACAGCCTATCACCCGGCTGCTAACGGGATGGTCGAGCGGTTTCACCGCCAGCTGAAGGCCTCCCTACGCGCCGCGGCCGATCCGGAGAACTGGACCGATCACCTTTCCCTGGTCCTCTTGGGCATCCGCTCCGCTCTGAAGTCGGACCTTGATTGTTCCTCAGCTGAACTGGTGTTCGACTCCACCGTCCGACTCCCCGGTGAGATGATCTCATCAACCCCGCGAGGTGTAGCTGAGGATCTCACCAACCTCCTGCATCGCCTCCAGCAGTTTATGCGGACACTTTCCCCGGTTCCTCCCAGATCCTCCACCTCTCCGTCTTATCTCGAGAAGGACTTGGCAACGTGCTCTCACGTCTACCTTCGATGTGATCGAGTCCGCCGGCCCCTGGAACCACCCTACGACGGCCCATTCCGAGTTATTTCTCGTGGGACGAAAAACTTCCGCATTCAACGCGGAACTCGTGAGGAGGTCGTGAGCGTGGACCGTCTCAAAGCTGCCGTCCCGGACACTCCTCTGGATGAGCCCTGTGGTCCCCTACCCCCTGCTCCGCCTCCCCGCCCCGCTATCCCTCCGTCCCGTATACTTCCTCTGCCCCCATGTCTGCAACCCACAACTGCAACTACTCCTTCATCAACCAGCAACACTGTAACCGCGAGCCATACTCACTCTACTCCTGTGCCCCCTGTATATATCACCCGTAGTGGACGTCATGTTCACATTCCTGACCGTTTGGTTACTCATGTTTTGTAGACATCAACAGTTCCTTCGGCATCGTTACGCGCCGCTTCGGTCTAGCCGGGGGGTACTGTGGCAGTTCGCGTTTCCTCGCCCTCCGCATTTGTCACGCTGCCATCCTGTCCTCCTCACACTCCGTGTCGATACGCTGCTGGGACGCGCGAGTGCTCGAAGCCAATCAACGTTGTCCCCCTCTGATTGGCTGGCGGACGTGGGGATAACGAGGGGCGCACACACGCGCTGACACAACACCTTGAAGGCGGACACAGACAACAGCTTGCTTGGAGCGCGCTCGCGGCGACTGCCTACAGGGCCCTTGTGTACGCGCTTCCTGAGGCAGTAAAGGTTGTCCAACTCAAACCGTCTTCCCTGACTTTTGATTGAAAATTTTTATCGTGTCGACCACACAATATTCGACACAGTAAGGACAGGATGGAACTGTGACTACCGAGCTGGTGGTTACTGCAACGGTGCTGACGGTGGTGGAGTTATTTGTGCTGGTAGTTGAAAGGTGCTTGGTTGTTGGACGTGATCTGGCTGTGCACAAACTGTGGCAGATCTCGCTGACGTGTATGTGCATATGACCGAAAAAACTCATTCGGTCTTTGAATGTCCTGAGGCACTGCAAGCACATTAGGTGTGTGGCGGACGCGTTAGGACTGCAAGCATTTGTTCACCGGTTTCAGTACGATGGATTCTCAAGCAACCGATAATGCCTATGCGTGTTGACGAAGGGCAATCGCAAAGGAGACAGATTGTAATCGAGTCTGCAATTATGGTGATGCTTTGCAAGATTGAAGGAGTGCCTCCACCGGTGATGATGGTGTTGGTGGTGCGTTGTGGGGCGAGGGGTGGGTTGACTCTGCGGATATTATACTGGGCCCGCAGGTGTCCAGCGGGTCCGATCCGCGCCCGGAATGTCCGTCAACGCTAGGAGAATATGGCAGGGGTTGAGTACTGGCGTCATTGGTCTGTAGCACTTGGGTCTCACGGGTCTATCTCCTTCTCCTCGGTTGGCTTCGTAGACGGCTGCTTCAGTCTTTATGGCAGCGTGCCATGCCTGTGGATCTTCCGTTAGGTCCTCACAGACCTTCGGATGGGTTTGTAAGTGCTTTAGGAAGGTCTTCAAAGTGTACTTGTGGTGACGTTTTCACCACCCCCCCTTCTCTGTGATCACTCGTAGCGTGGTCGCCGTAGAACAGCCACGCGCGCGGGCGCCCGTCGTCCATCAGAGCGTTATAGCTGTTCTATCGCAGTTGTATCTGGATCATCGTGATGATGATGATGATGATGATGATGATGATGACGACGACGATGATGATGATGATGTTGAGAACATAGATTCCTACGGGATCTCAGTGTCTGGGTTCCTTGCCTGCCACTTCGCTTACAGATTTCCTCAGAGGCAGCTGAAGCGAAAATGGTTGGCACATCTCGCCTAGCCTTCGCAAACAGTCCACGTTTCCGCCCTGTGCAAGAGGCTTATCAAAATGGCAACCCTGTACATTCTCAGTTTTGTGTTAAGTAGGGTGCCGCGGCGGCTCCAGCTGGCATGTTGTATACGGCCAAGGATGTTGTTGGTTTGGAGATCCAGCTTACAATTTTGTTTTCGATCTTTATGTTTCTTGAAATTGTGCACCCGAGGTATATGAATTTGTCAACTGATGTGAGATGAGTTCTGCTAACATTGATACGTGTACTTTAGGGTAAAGGAATACCTTACTAACATCTGTGAACAATAGGTGGTGGATACTCGCCTTGTATACCCTCGAAGAAGCCTTCGCAGTGGCCCTATTCCAGGCGCCTGTTGCAACGCTGCGCCTCTTGCGAGTATTTACGCACACGCACCAGTGACAGTCTGGTTCGCGGCCAACCATCTTTAAGACCGACCCAGGCACGCTCTAGCTCAAGACGCCGACACATTACCCCCTGTCGCTCCGGCCGCCGCTCTCGCGGCGTCGTACATTTTCCCTTGTCCTGGCTGCCGGCTTATTCAAACTGGTTTTCTAATCCTTATATTCAGTATTTTCTCAGTTGGAGTCCAGCAACGGGTCTGAAGGTCGTAGCGGCTAGGGTCTCCCATGGTTTTAGCTTATGCGGCACTTTCGGGCGGTGAATGTCGAGCGGTTTTCCGTCGGTTCAGTAGTAACCGTCGATCTGCGGCCGCCCCTCACAGTAGGCGGCCAAAAAGCATAGCGGAGAAGATGAGACTGAATAGGGTGGGGACTAGAAAGAAGCCCTGCTTCTCCCCATTTGTCACCGCGACTGTTTCAGATCTGTCCCGTTGTCTGTGTCGCAAGCCGTCATTCTGTCCTGAAATTGTTTTAACATTGTGCAAATTACTTAGAACGTCTGGATTTCGGAAGGACTTTCCAAATGCAATGGTTATTCACCGAATCGAAAGCCTTTGCCAGGGCCACTAGTTCGGTGTTGAGGTTGGTCTTCATTTACTAATAATTTTCCTGCAGTTGGCGGGCCGCGAAGATCATGCTTGTAGTTCTACTGTGTCTTTGGAACCAGCACTGAGTTTCTGGAAGAAGTCCCCGCTGCAAATGTGTGTCCAGGTTATTAACTAAGGCAAAGGCGAAGAATTTTCCTACGGTATTCAGAGAGGAGAGACCTTTGTGATTTTCACAAAGTTGCCGGTTGCCGTTCCTTTTATAGATGTGCACGGCGGTGGTATCCTTTAAAAGTTTAGAAATTCGTCCTTATCACCGCATCCCTCGAAACGGAAAATCAAGCTTTTCCATGAGTTGTGGGCCTCTGTAATCGTCGTCTGAATTAGTGCCCGCTCCCGCTGTTTTCCCGATGGACAGCTGTTGCGCTGCTCTGATTGTCTATATGAGGGAAGGTAGACGATAGAGGTCGTCGGGAAGTCTGTCCTTGCAGATTTCATCTAGCTGTCAGCAAAACGTCACTGTCCGAAAATTTTGGGACTTAGGATATATTTGACGTCTGCAATATCAGGGGTGATATATGTTTGAAGTCAAGTACGTTCTTTGGAAAGAGTAGGAAAATGTATTGGGTAAATTTTGGATGCTGGCGCCCAGGTCCTCGTCAATCATTGGGCAAATGTGCAAAAAACAGTTTTTTAAAAGGCTTTAAAATCGATACTTGTTCGGTGTTTGCACCGATAAGCGGCCGCCGTGTGCGTCATCATGTATCGATTGGCTCCCATTTCTTCAAATTTTTTTTCTTAGATTTTTTTACACGACACCTAACGCAATACGTCTATTCATGCATGACACATCTGAGCGCATGGCTTTAAGAAACTCAGTATTTTAGGTACGGCAGACGCCGACGATGTAAGTTTTCTCCCAGCCGAAGGTGTGCCCGGTATATAGAATAATTGAAATTCCATGGGAAAAAATTTATTGCATATTTTTTGGAGCCTGTCTCTCAGGTCGTCATCAGACTATGGTTGGTACAGAAAAGCAGTTCCATAGCCTTATTTGGGTAAGGAAAACTAATTTTCAGACAGAGATCTAGGAGTAGGAATAGGGCATCCACAGGCACCTCGGGGTATAGGTTTGAAAGTGATCCTCGACGCAGTGGTATCGAGGTGGAGAGCGTGATTACATCAAATGATACCATTATCCCTTCAACTGCAACTCTTATTTTTTCTAAAAATTTATTTAGAAGGTTTTTTGAGTCTTCAGCAGAGTCCTCGGAGTTCTTTGTAAATGAACGCAGTTTTTGAACTACTCAATTTGAAACTTTACAGTTGGGTCCACCGACTAGGTAAACTGCTGGTCGCAGTGGAACAACTTTATGCATGTATAAACAAATTTAAATAATCAGAAACAGGTCAGATTATTTGGGAGCAAAAGCAATTTTTATTTTGAATTCTTGAATCTGGTGCCCCAGCTCGTCATCAGACGAGTAGGTAATGCACAAAAACAGCTAACTTTACATAGGGTCTAATTAAAGATTCTGCGGGTGGCCGAAGTTTATGCCAATGGACGTCTGCTATATACAGTCACTCGATTGGTACTGACTATGTTCGTTTCCAACTGGCAATGGGGAATTTGTATGTGACCCCTTAGTCGATATGTCTATTAATACATGCCTCTCTGCGATGAGGAACAGGAGAGCATTTTTGGTAGGATATTCTCGCAAGCATAATGAAAACGTAAATTGAGAAGTTAGTTTGGATTGTATAATCATTAGCCGAAAAGGTTTTTAATTCAAGTAAAATGCAGTCATGACACCAGACTTTAACGCAAATGCACTAATTTTTTTAAATAACTAAACAAAGGGTTAAACACGCAAGATTGCTGACCAAATTAGAAATGTCTCTGACGCTTGAGCATGTTCAAATTTCACTTGCTTAACGGCTCAGGAGTAGAACACGAGAATAATGACTTCCCACAAAATCGGTGGCCATGGATTAAATTCCAGGGAGATTTCCTGTTCGCAAGTCTCAAACTTAACCCTAGCCATAATCTCCGTGGGCTCCAGTATTAGGGGGAGGGGGGTTCCTATCCCTGTGCTCCACCTGCTCAAGCAGTCACACACTGAGATATCCTGACTCAACTTGAACATAGCACGTTTAATCCTTATGAGGGACGAACACACATCATTTAAATACCAAAGTTGCAAAAGCGCTAGCACTTTCCTTAAGATAAACTAAAATTAACGCAAGGGAAGTGTGGTCTTATCTAAAAACGTTAGACGCTCCGCTAAGTCCATTAGGCTGCTCTGCTAGAGGGCAACTACAGATGACAATTTTTGGACTGCAGTCGGTAACGAATCTCTTGAAATACTAAATAAAGTTCTGGAATGCGTTTCCGATTAGAAAGGATTACTTGAATGACGTTGTAGTATTGATTATCGTGCTGACTAATGCAAAGATATTTCGGTCCCGCCAGGATGCCGGCTTCGGATTGTGTGGACAGAGAGCAGCAGCCTTTGATTACTACTGGCAAGAAGAAATCAGTGGCTGTATAACCATTAAGAGTCAAATGCCAAACGATCTTATCCTCCAGTATGCGTGTCCCGCGGGCAAGCTGCAACAAGATTTTGTCCGTTCATCAAGACAAACGGTACAGTCAAAAAGTAGTCAGACAGTCAAATGCAAGTTAGTCGGCACCTCGGCACAAATGCACTTCTTTCCGGTCACGTGCAAAAAAATATTCCCTGGGCAGCAAATATCTTCTTCAAATTTTATACTCAAAGAGAGTATCAACGTTTTAAACGAATAGTTAAACTCGCAAGTATTTTTGAGCTCGATTTGCCGTTGCATTTGGGTTTGGGGTTTTCAGTCTACAAGCCGCATACTTTTCGTGTAATAAAAATCGTATATCCCTCTGGGTCATTTGGAAGGTATCATACAGAACTCAGAAAATATTTAAATAAATGTAAACTATGGTATACACTTCATGAGGAGCATTGACATACGGACAGATACGATGCTACCTGAACGGGCATTCCACGGTTATGGAATTTTTTTCAGTTGCAGGCTTTTTTAAACCAACAGATATCCTTTCTGCGATTATCGATTCGAGGACTACGTGATTTGCTACCAAACGAGTAAAAGAAGAAGTATTTTTGATTAGGTTCTCCTCAAGTGTATCTGAAATTATAACAGCATCGAAAGCCAATGGAAAAACGCATACTACTTAAGTTGTCGCTCTTACCTAGTACAGGTTTTGCAGGCAGTCGAAAGGAAGTGCACTTAGAAGCCGGAATATCATGGGCTTATGCCGCGCGATTATCATTATTATAACCTCGTTTAAATAATCCTCCTTGATCGAAGACGCACTCTAGAATGTTGGTTAACATTTCATGAGATTGATCACTGACTGTAAATCTAAAATAATACGGAGACATAATGGCTTGGCACCTGTTTTCTTATGCTCCCTCTAAAGAGTAGCAGGGATTAGCTTGAGTCATTGTCAAATATAGCGGCAGTTCCAACGTCATGTGAACACCATATATGTCATCTGGAAATCCTCTCTGAGATGCCATATAACGTAAAGATGCTATGCACGAAGACAAAGGAGAGTGGAAGGGTCATTTTGCGTCATCGGAAAACCATACCTAAACAGTGGGCCGGGAATACTTGAACTAAGAAACCGGAAGCTGTTGATCATCAAGAATATAAGTCAGAACTAAGCAGCAGTAAAGTGGTAATAATTTTTGGATTCCCAGTTGGCATTTTTGCATAACCCGAGGTTAGCATTTTAGATCCCCATGATGGCAGTCCATAACCAGTGCCAAACGAAAGTGTAAACGCATTTCACCATATTTTCTGGCCACCTGATCCCATCTAAAAGATCATGCCTCCACATAAAGGGTCGAGTTGTCTGGATAATCACTGATGAGTTGCCGTTGATAAAAACCACATGAAGAAGGTCGGCAGATCCACAAACGTCTAGTGAAACATCTGTTCGGATTTTTGACTGGCACTAGTGTTGAGAAGGAACGGTGGAGGAACTTC